GAAAAGACAATCGTGGGCTGAATCCTTTTAGAACTCAAAGAATGAATATGATTGTATTGACGAATAAGGGTTATGAAGATGATTAAGATGAATACAAAGGAATCACTGAATGACTTATGAGTAATAATGTATGTGAAAATTCGTAGAAAAATGAATCCCCCCTCCTCTTCATCTCTCCTTCCTTTAAATAGTCTTAGGTCACGTTTAACCTCCCCTGATTAGTCTCCGAGATTACTTCCGTAAATTGAGGGATTTGCAACAGCTTCCTTTTGACCGAATCATATGCCTCTTGCTTCGTATCCTGGGCTGTTTTTGTTAGGTTCCTGAAAGAGAAACCGGACCTCTTCTCCGTGACCTCTTTTTCGTGACCTCTTTCTTCGAAATCCTTGGAAGTAGCCTCCGTCCTCAGGTGAGCTCCGTTCTCCTTTGAAGTGACAATCCACGCGTGGCCCATTATTAGGCTTAATTAATTGATCCGCTAATTTCAGCTAACGGGCCATATTTGGGCCCAACAGTACACCTGTCAATACAGTAGCAGCTGAGAAGTTTGTAAGTTGTCAAGTTTTGGCTTCAAATGGTTTGTCTACTATATTAGCCTATTAACATGTTTTATGTTGCCAGAAAAAGGTAGTAGAGCTGGTTGGTAGTGATAGTAATTCAACAAACCCAAGTGTAGATCCGCTTACAGCTCTTTTAGGACCTGATCATCCTGGTCATTTGAGGGCAATGGGTAGAAACATTGGGAAGACGAAGTTAGCTTGTTTTCAAGTGAAAAAATAGTTTATGGCTGAAATGGCAGAGAATCAATATAAATTGCAGAACAAAGTGTTTGAGTTGGAATCTGAGATTGCTAGAATTAAGAAACAGGTTAGCTTTACTCAAACATATATCTTCTCACTGTCATGAATCTGAAATTTGTTTATCTTTGTTGCAACAGGAACCTGAAATAGGGGATAACTCAGCAACTGCAAGAGGAAAGGTACGTAATCTATGTTCATTTTATAAGTTTGTTGCTTTGAATCTGATTATGGTTCTAAATAACATTTTTATGTAGAGTGTTAACAAGAGAGCTCAACCTAAGTGTGTATTGGTTGATTGGTCTGGTTTGGATGAAAACGTTGTTGAGGGACGTATAATTTCATCTGAACCAGAGGACTTTGTGAATGACATTCCCTTAGGCCCTCTTGCTGTTAAGGTATTGGTAGAAACTGCAGTCAAATCTGATGCATTTCTTTGGAGACCTGCTATTGGTATGTTTACTGTTGAGCACGCTGTTGGGGAGATGATTGCATGGCCTTCCAGTTACTGTGTTATATCCAACGAAGGGGTATTTACTGAAGATATTCCTCTAAGGGTAAGAATTCTTATTGTCTACCTTATTATTACAGTTTATGTTACTTGTTTGATTAACGAAGTTGTCTTTGTATGGTAGAGTCCAAATTCAACTTCTATGAACAACTGCAAACTTTTATCACCGTGGTCTACTGATGACGAAGTTGTTGCTGAAGGCTGTTGGCAGTGTAAAGAACCGAAAGCTTTGGTGGATAATCTGCCTCTTGGACCAAATGCAGTAAAAGTTTTTGTGGATGTGGTTCATGTTCCTGATACATTTCTGTGGAGACCAAAAACTGAAATGACTCACCTTAGGGACGCAGTTAAGCAGTTTGTTGCATGGCCTGCCAATAAATGTGTGTTCGATAACACCACAGAGTCTTCAGACCGTACATCTCATCTTCAGCATCAAGCTTCTTCTCCTATTGAACAACCTACAAAAGCTGCTACTTGTTCTGCATCACAAGGTTCTAAATCAGGCAATCATTCTCCAAAAGCTACCCTTAGTAAACCACATGCACATTCTCCCCTTCGAAGATCACAAGTACATTTGATGTCCATAGTATTAAGTAGTTGTTTGCCTACTTTTTTATTAACTGAGATATATTGGTTTGTCTTGCAAACATTGTAGCGTCAGATACAAAATGAATCTGCTCAAGAGAATCAAAAATGCAAACTGATGTCCATTAAAGGAAAGAAGCAAGTGGTTGCCGAAGGACGTTGGGCTTCAGACAACCCGGAGATTACAGTTCACTTTGTTCCCTTGGGACCTAATGGTGCTAAAGTGTGGATTGATGTGGTGAAGGTGCATAAGGCAGAGGTTTGGCGGCCTTCAACTGAGATTGAGATTCTGGGAGATGCACTTGGCACATGTATTGCATGCCCAAAGGAGAAAGTGATCTTCTCTTAACTACTATCAGGTCTAATGTACAACTCTCTCTGCTTGGATAACTTAGACCAAGTGCGGAACTTGTGTATGTTTTGTACTATTATTGTGTCGGATTGGGACATGTAGTTTGGTACCTCTTTTTCAATGAATATTGTAGGTTGTGTGTTTGAATATGTATGTCTGTTTTAAATGCAAATCGAGCAGGTTGTGGTATATTGAACTACTAACAACAAATTCAAAAAGCAATAAAAATCTGACCATTAAGTAATAGCACCTATAAACCGCTGTAATATACAGCTGCTATTGCAATATGAAAAACCATTATAGCCTGCAAGTTATGCTATTGAAACATAAATTGTAGCAAAAAAATTCAACGCTATTATAATGTCGACTATATAACAGCATTAATAAATACTGCTATCATATAGCATCCCAATAATAGCATGTCAAAAACTGCTATAAAAAGGGGGGGGACCTATTATAGTTGGGGCAGACATAGCAGTTCATAATACGCCATCAATTGCATATAATAGCGGTTTCCTCGGGCTATCAATACCCATTTTTCTTGTAGTGGCCATCATTCCATCAGGTCATGAAACCTTCTCTGGATGCATCATAAATAATGTTTGCCTTACTTCTTCTTCTGTTGCTGTTCGCAGTAATCGTTGATTCATCTGAGAATTGATAGATGAAGGAACTTCCTCCAAAAAAATTATCAAACTCTGATGAAGAAGTAGTCGTAAAAAGATTCTCAAAGTAATTCACTGCTACATTTTCCATACATTTATCCTCTGTTAACCATTGCCCAGCTTCATCATGAAGGCCCACTATGCGATTTCGTACCCGTCTCTGCTTTGTTAATGCATGATAGAATTTGGTATTATGGTCTCCTGATGTATACCACATATTACGACTTTTCTGATCCCAGTAATCCTCCTCATCCTTATATGCATCCTGTAATTTCCTAGAGACCTCCAGAATTTCTTCATGTGTTCTATTAGTATTTGTTTGTACCTCCTCGAGTGTCCGTTGAAGGTCTTGTTTTTTTTTCTTTCCATATGGTAGATTATTTTTCCTCCATTGAGAAATTCTGTGTCTGCAATTGCTAATTTTCGTGACAAAATTAATTTCTTGATTCTCATTGGATTTAGTCCAGCCTGATGAGATTGAATCCATAAGACCCTCCTGCCTAATCCATCTTTTGTCAAACCGAAATTGTCCCTTCCTCCTGGAGACCTTATCCTCCATGTATGCCATGACCGGTCGATGATCAGATCCAATCATTGCTGAATATTCAGTGTATGAACATGGGAAAACTGTATGCCATTCTTCATTTGCTAAAGCACGGTCTAATCGACATCTAATCATCACCACCCTTTCTCTTTCCCTTGCCATCCTTGCTAATACATTTTGTTTCCCCGAACTGGGAACTCCAATAAACCACTATTTCTTATCATATTATTAAAAGGAACAAAAGAGCACACACTTCTCAACGCACCACATTCTTTTTTATGATTACCCGTAATCTCATTCAAATCTCTAATAATAAAGCACGGTTCAGACCGTGATAACCCGTATCGGGTTAACCGTTCCCAAACTTGCTCACATAATTTTTGAACCGGGTCCCCATACACAAAGGTTAAAAAGACGTTATTTCCGAGAGCCACCGCCTCCACATCTATCATTCTATTACTGGAATACAAAATCTTGACCTGATAGTCATTGTTATAGAAAAGATCTAGTCCCCTGCTGCTTCCATTTGGTTCCACTGTAACCAAGCTATAATACCCAAAATGGGATTGAAAGCCTTGTACAAATTCAAACTCTTGCTTAGTTTTCGATAGAAATAAAATTCTGGTTTGTGCTTATGCCAGATCTCTCTAATATAGCTGATAGTCCATTTACTACCTAAGCCCCGCCAATTCCAACTTAGTACTCTCATAAAAAACTTATGGGATGAGCTCCGTAGAGCCAGTAAAGAGGGGTTTAAGGAGACCCTGCATTATGAAAGTTTGTATACCACCATTGTTAATTAATTTAACCACCGCCTTTGGACACTTTGCAGCATCCTTCGTAGTTCATTCCTATATAGGAGAATTTTTTTAGAAAAGTCCCGAGCGGCAGACGTGGAGATCCGCAACCGTAGAATTAAATGTATTCCATTTAAAAATTTATTACCAGTCACACAATATTGGCAACAAAATAGTATAAGGTATACTCTTACTATCCATTGTGTATTTCTTCCTTCTAACCATATACAATTATAACCAGAGGCGTTCATTCCATTTAATTTAATGACCACACTCCCTGCTCTTCCCCACTTCCTTGTTCGAGAAATACCTATGAACCAGCATTCCCCACATATCTCTAAGTGCATTTGGTTTGATGAGACCAATTGCAAGTGTCTCTTGGAAATCAACACCCAACTCTTTATTTTTCCAATTATCCAGTAACCATAAATGTACCAAAAGACCAGAACACAATATACCATAATGCAAGCTATGTTTCTCAACCAACACATAATCGAAAAAAGATAAAGCCTCCATGAAAACACCTTGCACATGTTGTAATATCCAGAGACAATAATTGTATTCCATAGAAAAACCCAACAATACCAACTCGTCACAAATAGAGAGCAGGCATTAAACCAAATTACCACAACAAGAATACGTAAAATAGTGCTTATAAAGCTTATTGAAAGGACAGAAACAAAAAAAAAATGATGAAACAAAGACTCCCTCCTATGATCATTATAGGTGATGTACTCCATAAAACTGCCTTACTGTTTAGTAGAACTAGGCTTTGGGTTTGAGGGACCCTTGGCCTCCACCTGTTTCGTGCCATCTCCTTGGCTGGTACCTGTCTTGGCGTTTGTACGTTTGCAAGGTGAGAGCACTGCCTGCACAAACTTCTTCCTAGACGTCCCGACCATAACCCACTGCCTAAACAAAACCTTCCGAGCTCCTTTCTTCTTGTCCTCTTCTCCAATAGTAACACTCTTGACCCCTGTCTCCTCAGCCTGAGTGATGTCATCAGGTTCCACTATAAACTCATCCTGCAATATATCAGTTTCCTCCACATCCCCATCAGTTAAATTCTGGATTTCATCATCCCGAATAGCCATTTTTTCATTACCTTCGATCTCAACCCGGTTCTCCTCAACCTCCATATCAGTCCCATCTAAAATACGTGCCCCCTTACCACCTAATTCAGGAACATGTTCTATATCACTTATCTCTTTTGTAGGAGAAGTAGATACCTTCAGAGTGACTGTCCAAAGCTGACTCTGATGTAATCTCCTGAGTTGAAAAAGTGTTTTGTTGTTCGCTTGCAATGATTTTCACTGGTGCCTTTTTTGAAGTTTCCCCGTCATCCTTTGGATCATGTGGGCCTCTACTTGATGGACGCCGATCTCTTCCCATACCACGAGAAGATCTTCTACAGTCTTCTGAATATCGCATCCCATTCTGATCTCTATCATAGCCTCTGTGACGAGAACCATTATTTGCCTCTCCTCTACTGTTGTTTCTAGTGGAGTACGGTCTCTTGTTATCTCTTTCAGCTACCCGGACCCATTGATAATCATGCTCCTCATACATCTTGCCCTTTCCCTTTCCAGTGTAGTCACGATGCTCCTTTCCCTTTTCCTAATGGTTAATATTACCATTGAGCACCACTCCTCTGTAGCTTCTCGCACGGTCATCATGGTTCCCCAAATGCTCCTCTCTAATCTCTCTCTCTTTTTGGCAATGCTTTTCGGATTTAATGGACAGATCATCTCCTCATGGCATAAGCTGAAACACAGTTCACAATAGCCAAATAATTTCTCATAACGTAGAGAAATCAGAACCTCCTCTCCTGCATGGAACTCACCACCTTTGAAATCCACTGTTGTTTCAAACACAAGCTCCTTGTATCCGTCCAGCCTCACCTTGATCCTTCCATGATCCAGATCCACCTCCAACCATTCTCCTAAAGCTTCTCCAATACTCTCAAATGTCTGGGCCGCCCAGAACTCAAGAGGAACCCCCAAGACTTTGACCCATAAATTACTTTCAGAGGGATAACACCTTTCCCTTCGTGGTTGCCAACGCTCCAATGATATCATCCAGTAATCAAAATGGTAAGGTTGCTTGTTTAGGACCGCTTCAATTTCTTTCTCCTCCTTGAAATCAAATTGAAACTTTCCCAATTCCAAGTCTATCCCCACCACTCGGTTTTCCAAACTCCAAATCTTTGGTAAATTAACCACAAGAGCCGTGACGTCCTGTTTAGCCGGATTCATACAACAGCCTATCAAGGTCCTTGCATAGCCCTGAATAAGGACAGTGTTGTCAAAGTGTGGCACTGAGATCTTGATCCTCTTGTGATTCCCTTCCCCTCTTTTCAAATTCCCAATAAGTTGACTCTGCGCCATTGAAACCAGAAAAAAAAAGAAAAAGAAAAAACCCAATAAAGCCTGAGAGATGTATATGTAGTAATAAGAGAGATGTGAAACAAAGTGCAAGCTATGTCTCGTAATTTATATGATTCCCAAGATATGCCAACCATAAGCCGTAGCAAGATCCCCATTAATCCCAATCGAATTGATACCAGAATAATATGAACAAATCTGTTTGTTTGAGACCATTAACCCCAATATCTTTAGTACCCCATCAACCTTTTGCAAAAGAAATCTCCAAATCCCTACTTACCATTTATCCAGAACTGCATATTCTATTAGAGCCATTCAAGAATCCATAGTAATCAATTTACCAAGGTTCTGTGATTCCGTTTTGATGATAACAGGAATCAGTCGAGAGATTCTCGATCTGAGGATCTGTGAAGATATCCCCTCTGTCGGAATGAGAAACAACCATCTAGCCATATCTTTTCTGCCATCGAGTCCTGATTTTCCAATCCTCAGAGAATCATTTGTCGATACGGAAGATCCTCTCTTTCACCAAACTCCCCTTGTTCCCTTCCGCCATTATAGTCCATGTACACCAATGAACAATCCTCGATTGCCCCAAATTATCTTTCATTTTCTTGCCCCTTTCTCACCAGGATCCCAACCTTGAAAGATCATCGAACCCTAGGCCGCCATTGCCATCGCCGTTTTTGTTTTTCACGATATTATGATGGTTTTTAGATTTTAGATTTTGGTTTTTTGTTTTTGGATTTTAGATTTCAATTTTTGGTTTTTGATTTTGCAGTAGATTTTAATTTTTGGAAAAACATGAATGGTGAGTTTATATTTTGGTTTTATTTTTTAGTTTTTACTTTTGAAATAATAAGTGAAAATGTTATAACAGTAAAATATTTATTCTGGAAATAATAAAGTATAATATTATTATCAAAATACACATAAAATTCTTACATATTAATAAAACAGAAAATATATAAATTCTACGGTTAAACATACACTTCAAAAAAATTAATAACATAAAATCTTATTAAAATTAAAAATAATTATTAAATAAAAAATTCACTATGGCTTCATTATTAGATAAAATATCATTTAACTTCCATAGTTTTAGTAAAATTAAGCTGTATTATACATATTATTCTTTCTAATTTGATTGTATTTAATTTTAATAATAATACTAAAATTTAATTAACAAGTCCCTCAAAATCCTACAAAAAGATAAAAAAAATATATATATATATTTTTACTAATACGTGTTATTTTGTAATTTAGAATTTAAATTTAACTGATAGACAAAAACTTGTTCTTAATAATTTGGATAGTTAATATTTTAGTACCAATCTCTTTTTATTTATGAATGCTATATCAATGCATAAATATAAAAATATAAATATTTCAATAAAGAGAATTTTTTAAAAAAAAAACACGTACACTATCTAGGAAACTAAGAAAATGTGGTTTTTGGTTTTTGTTGAAAGATGGGTAGTTATTTTCAAAATCTGGTTTCTCTAAATGTTAGGAAATCTATTTTGCTGAAATCTTGATTGGTGAAAAAGTAGTTTTTATAAAATCAAAAACAAAAAACCACTTTAGAAAGTACAAACAATCAACCTCTAAAAGTCTGGATCTGGGTCTATGTTAAAGTACATGCTGGATCCTCTTCCATTGCATCCATGAATATGGATTCGAATTCGGATTCTATGTGAGACCTGACTGAATACCCAAATAAACTTATTGTACATATTAGCCATAGGGGTGATTAGAAGAAACCATAGAAGTGGTCAGCCATTTTTATTTTTATAGCTTTATTTCAAAGCAATTATACTTTAATGTTCAAAACTGAATCTAGAGCCAAAACATTATAATAGAAAATGTATTAATTGTAGAAATCGATTTGAGAGATTTTATTCAGTGCTTTAAGAAAATCTACACACAAAAAAAAATTCAAAACCACAGCTGAAAATCTAAAGCATAAATCTTATATAAAAACATAAGTCCACAGGTTCAACCAATCAAACACATATTTAGGTGTTTTTGGTACTTCAGATATTTTTTAAGTTTTGAGTTCGAGTCTTCATGGAATAGTTTCGGGCCACAGATAAAATTTATATTTTCAAAAACATAATTCAAATATACAAATAGAATTTGGGTATTTTCGGGATTTTGGATCAGATTTCGAATAAATTTTTAGGTATTTTTTTTTTGTTTTTTTAATTTTCGGGTATTCGGGGTTTAAGGTTCAGTTCGGGTACCTTAAGTTATTTTTGGTCCTAAATACTTGAACCATTCCGAACCTAAAATATACCCAAAAATTTGGATATTGAAATTATAGATCTAAACCTACGTAGATTCGAGAAGAACCAATCCAAATCTGACAAAAATAGACACGAATCGAAAAGTTCTAACTATCTAGTTGAATCCAAATATCTAGAATCCAAAATATCCGAACCCGTGAGAAACTGATCCGAATTAGATTCAAGGACATGATTGCTCAGGCCTAACTCGTCGTTAAGGGTGGACATTTTATCCGACGTACCCGAATCGAAATGTTCGAACCAAAATCCGATTCGAAGTAGCAAAATATATGAACGGTATTGAGTGAGAAGAGATTGGATATCCGACCTCGAACGGATATACCCGAACCGAATGGATATCCAAAGATAAGTGAACATATGTCTATCAACATATATTATTCCTAGTTTATTTATCTCATTTTATTCAGAATATTTATATTAATGTTCTATATGGTTTAATTTTAGATAATATATATATATATATATATATATATATATATATATATATATAATTGTAAAAAATGATTTTCTACTCATTTTAAATACATCTTAAGCTTCATATTTTAAGCTTCATATTTTATGCTTCAACAAAACTTGCATCCAAAATTTAAAAATAACAACCAGACTAATAATTTTTTATTTTCAATTATTTATTTTCAAATTTATTAATCTTGTAACCCACTAAACATTTAAAAAGAGTTAAACTAATAGTAAAATTTTAAAATACATGAAACTTGTGCAATTTGAAGAATTTTATTTTTTTATTACAATCTAAATACCCAAAATTCGACCCAAAATAATCAAATCCAAATTAAAAATATTAGAATCCGATCCAATATATAAAAAGATCCGAGTGGATACAAGATCCCAATATTGAAATATCTAAGCTCACCGCTACTGGTCGTTATAATGGAAAAGGTGATGAGATAGAAAAAAAAAACAATCGAGCGAAAGTCCATCTAATGTGTTATATCATTTGGGCTGTGAGTTAAATAGAATAAGATGGGCTTGACGCCCAACTAAGAAATAAGATGTTAATGCTTCATTCACCTATCGTGGTCTGTAGAGAGATTGAGGAGGGCGTGGTTACCTCATTCAATTTCGGCTTTTTCTCCAAACCCTAATAGCTCCAAGTTTCAATTTTTGATGAGTTTTGTCGGTCATGTGAAAAAAGAGTGAAGCCCTTTTTCATTTACTTGTTACCAAATTTCTGAAATCTTGTTTTCGTCCGATGGGTTCGGAGAATCATGTAGTTGTGGATGTTAGTTCAGACGAGGAGGTCGATCCGCGTGTTTGAACTGGCTAAACAAGGTTGTTGATGTCACATCCGACAGCACCGATCTAGTCAGCCTTGATTCTCAGCTAAATTCTTCGACTCAAGCAACTTTGGAGGATGACGACGACGATGATTGTGTGATTCTGGACTGTGATCCCGACAAGACAGGTGCTGCAGTTGAATCTAAAGCTGATGATGATGATAACGACGAGGTGCTTGTAGTTGGGCAAAAGGGTGAGGTATTGAGTTCCGAATCCACCTCAATTTCTATTAAAAAAAAGTCTTGTTTAGTGAGATTATGTTTGCCATGTTCTTATTTAGCTAGCTTATGAAGATTCTTAACTTTACCAGTATAAGATTTGAATTCCTTGTTTAGCAGAAGATATTTGGTTAGATATTTTCTTAGTTAAACTATTTTGGAGAAGGGTGATCATTAAACTGTTTTGTGTAATTATTTATTAATCATTGCACGTTTTTGATGTGTTGGATACTAAGTTTTCCCCCTGATATCTAAAAGCCAAAAATATTTTGTTTTGTAGATAGCGTGTAGAGATTTCCCTCATCCCCGACATTCGTGTGCTAAGTACTCCTTCAACTCAACAGCACATGAGAGTTACTGCGACATGGTAAGCATCTACAAGTTTCTCTAATGCTTTAACGGATTATTTTCCCGGCTAATCCTTTTTATTTATTTATTTATTTATTTTCCGAAGTGTCACTGTTATGTGTGTGACATCCCTGCTCCTTGCCCATACTGGTGTGTCTCTGTCTCCAGCCTAAATCATTGTCATGCTAATGATAAAGACAAGACTTGGATGAATCAACGCGAGTAGGAATATTGCCCACCCAACCAGCTCATGCCACAGTGTCTCCGCCTCAGAGTATCATCCGGTTATCCCAAAACCCTTCGCCGAGGAACAAGATTGAGATCCGGCCTTGCTCCAACCGTGTTGCTGCTAATCACTCAAACGTCAGAGGCAATAGAGTCAGGCAATCGACTCCACGGAATAATGGGTTGCATTCATTGAGCAACAACGTCATCCAAAAGGATAAGAGCTCTTATATGGGTCACTTAAGGTCAGGAACTCGGAATGGTAACAACAACATCAAGGTGGGTCTCTGTACCAATGCTAAAGTTTCACGACCCACTCACCATAACCCTTCACCAACAATAAACCCAGAAATGCACACTCAACAACAACAACAACGCAGTTGTCAGCTCAACGTTACTGCAACAGCGGTGACCGGACCTCAGAGCAATGCTGATCTGTTTGGTTTACCTGAGTGGGGTCCACAAGCGGAGACAGTTCCACAGCATGAAAACGTCTTGCTGTCGGAAGTTGAGAGCTGGCTGATGGACAGTTGTAACCAAGCCGGGTTGATTAGCCCGTTACCTGAACCGTTTGCTCAAGACAATGTGACATTCGATTTCGAAACCTTCCTGAATGATTGAAACATTACTGTAGTTTGTATCTTTTTTGGCTTTCCGGATGTAGTATTGTAGGGTGATGTTCTAGATAATGAATCACCATTGTTAGCTGTTATTATAACTAAGAAGTGTTTATTACTATCTAACCAAAGTGCCAAATGTTGCAAGTGAAGAGAAATATAGTCTTCTTAGACTTGGTTTGTTCGGTTTAATAATTAACCAAATAGTTCATCAGAGCAAAATTTAGCAAGGCCCATGGTGAGCCCAATAAAGGTCAGAGTCGGGAAAAAAAAAGAAACGGTTTAGTCGGATGTTGCGGTAGGCAAACGGCCACTAATTTTGTCGTTTTGGAGAAGACGCGCGTGAGAGAGCGCGTGGGTGCATAATCATCGCTTTCGAGTGGGAAGCAGAATCTCACTACGGCAACACACTACCCTACGCCTCTTTCCCCCACACCACCAGCAGCATTTAATTCTCCCTCTCTCTCTCTTTCTTCTGCTTTGAAATCACTTTACTCTCTCTCTCAATCACTCTGTTGTTAGTAGAGTCATGGATTAGCTGAAGCAGAGTCTCTCTCTCGTTTCTTCTCTCTCTACTCTCAACGCTCGACTCTGTATTCCGGTGTGTGCAGATCTCGAGAGCCGCATTTCATGGATCTATCTAAATTGCGTTAAACCCACTAGGACCCCTAGGTTTTTGGAGAAATTTAATATCTGCGAAGTTATGTTTAGAAGTTTGATTCTGGACGATACGCTTCGTTTTGCTTCTTTGAGAATACGAAGAGCCTTTGGAGTGGAGGTAGAGGAGGTTCGGTGTCTTTGTTGCTGACGAATGGTGGTTTTAGAGTATCAATAAAAGATGCGGAACTTTGCCAAGCTTCTGCTCCTTGTTCATTCTCTCGCCTCCTTTCCCTTATGCTTTGGTATCTATATATATTCTTCCTTTTTCCATATCTTTGCTTGGTGCAAAACAAAAGATTAGGAAGCGATTGCGAAAGGAAAAATGATCTAACATTAGCTATGTTTTATTTTTTCCCTCTTACTTGCTTGACAGCTGAAGATGAGCTATATTTAGAATTGTTTATTTAGATGAGCTATCTTTATTATTATTTATTTACTAGGATAAGACCTGCGCCTTGCGCAGGGTGAATATACGTAATTAAAATATAAAATTTTAGTATTGATAAATTTAAATTTACATATAATTATTTTTATATGTATTTGAAATTTTAAAATTTTGTAATTTTTAAATATTTATCTATACGTAGAATCAGAAACAATTGTAATTAGAACTGTAGATCAAATCTTAGAATTTAATGGACGCGATTTCATATATCTTTTCACTTTTTAGTGTTCGAGTGATTGAAAATAAACAGAGTGTCACTGGGCTTGATTGGTAAAGTATTAGCAAATTTCCTAATGTTTTTTTAAGAAGCAGTTGGTAAAATAATTGCATTTAAAATATATAAAGTTTGAAAACTAATTTAATATAATTTATTTGTATAATAATATTACAAAACTATATTTTTTACAAATTATTATTTTTTAAATAATTTTATAAAAAATAAGTTAAATTTTAAATTATTTTTAAAAACAATATTTTAAGTTTTTCAAATACAAATAAAGAATTTTAAATTAATTATGGTCATGATTTAACATAACCATAATGATTTAAAAATTTAAAAAATAAACAATTAACAAATTAAAAATTAACTCAGTTTTATATCATGATTTAACAATTTAAAAATTAATTATGGTTATGAGAAGTTTACGTTCACGTGTTAATCCTATTTATCTTCAATTTTTTTCTCTTGTTGTGTTTTTTTATATTTTGGTTATTACTCGATATAAATATTGATTTTGAAGTTTATTCTCATTTCGTTTATTTGTTTTGACCTGTGATTTAGAAAATATTTAAGATTTAAAATAATTAAAAAAATACATACTTTGGTTATGATCTGCACTTTATGCACAATAAGTATTTTATATTTATAATTTATTTTATAATTTTCTGCATATCATAAAATAATAAAATAATAAATATATATATTACATAACTAAGAAATCAGTCACTATTATGTAATAAATTGATGTATGCATATAAATTTAACTATCACTCTTGTTTATTCGCAATTAGCGTAAATAAATCAAAGTAATCAATCTTATATATTGTATATGATATATAATTAAATTTAAATGATATAAACATAGTAATATGGCACACTTTTAATATTGATATTTATTAAATGAGGTTTCTACTCATATGATTTTATGATTATTTGCATATTTATGTAACAAAACTTTACACCTACGATTTTTTTTTAATGTGAGATGTTTAGTAGTTCAATAATTTATAATCATTTAAAAAAAACAATGACATATTTCAAAATTAAAATATTAACTTTTCAATATATGTTGAAGACAAATATCAAAATATAAGTATGTATTTTCATACGATTTATAGTTTAATTAAAATGATATGAAATATATATATAAACTAAAATTATTTCTTCATATGGTCTTATAATCATTATATTTTAATATAGAAAAAAAATTAAAACCTTGATCCTAAAAGTTTATGTGAGACTTTTAACAGTTTTAGTAATTTATACTCATTTTAAAAAATTCGAAATACAACATACACAAAAAAAAAATCTAAATTTTTATTATATGATTAATGTAATTTTTTAATTTATTTTAATAATAAATAAATAAAAAAAATGAGAAAAGTATACAGATTGTTATCAAATATTTATTGTTTAAAATCATTAATTGTCAAATATATTTTAATCACATTAGGTAATTTCATAGGTTTTATTTAAGGAAAGCATGCGAAACAATAAATATTTGATATATGTGACCAACTATAGTCTACGAAATATTATATTGCTAGAGAATATAATTTTTAGACTATACATTATATCACATTCTCTAGAATCCTTGGGATTTGAAATAGAAGCCAAAGAGCTATGCCACATATGATTGGAGTTATTTTTAATTCTTACAAACTTAAGGTTACAACTTTTTAAATGATTCTCAAATAATATATAGGGGATTAGAGTAGTATAAATTAAGCAAAAAAGGGTTTTAGTTTTACGATTCTGAGTTTTGGAGTCTGGAATCTGTCAAGCGTGAGAGTGACGTTAATTTCACACCTTTTCTGCCTTATTTGGCATCCTACTAAGAAGATACTGACACACATATATAGAGCTTACTTCTCTCTTCTTGAGTATCTCTTGAAAACATTCTCTTGCCAAACAATGTAGTCTTTAACTTAGGCTTGACATGTATTGATAATAATTTGTCTGTTGATTGATGACGTAATCAGCTTGCTTTATCACTTGCAGCTAGGCTATTTCCTATGAGCTTGCTATTTAGCCGGTCAAAATCCCATCAAATGCACTTTTCTCATCCTCATCTTAATTCATTTGTCGCTCCTGCACCTTCACCAGGTCAGCAAAGGAAATCCTTTTAGTATTTTTCTAGTGCAATTAGTCAATGCTCCTTTTCTTTCTATTTTTAGCTTTTCCTCCCAACCCAAGTCACATTACGACACCAAGACACATGGGTCATCACCATAATCGTCGTTGGCACTTAACACGCAACGTCACTGCAGTTTCACCTTCCTCGCATGGTAATCCTTTTGCTATGTGTTGATTATCCTGCGTCCCTATTCCTAGTGCCACTGCAATCCTTTTTCTTTTTTGAATAAGATCTAATGTTATTGATTTGGATTTCAATCGATGCATAAAATAAGTAGTAGTAATTACTCATTTATGTGTGTTCCTGCTTTGTCCTTTTTTGATAGACTGTCAACAGACATGCGTGGAGCCTCTTACTTCAACTCCCTTTGGCTCACCTTGTGTTTGTGTTTACCCCATGAAAGTCCAGCTTCTGCTAAGTGTCGCGCCTATTTCTATATTCCCCGTCACCAGCGAGTTAGAAATTGAGGTTGCTGCTGGAACATACTTGGAACAAAGCCAGGTGAAAATAATGGGTGACAGTGCCGACAGTGAGAATCAAGGGAAAACAGTGGTGGATATTAACCTTGTTCCACTTGGGGAAAAATTTGACAATACTACGGCCACCCTTATTTACCAAAGGTTCCGCCACAAGAAAGTGCCTCTAAATGAGTCTGTGTTTGGTGATTATGAGGTTACCCACATAAGTTACCAAGGTAAAATGATATTCTTTGTAACACAATTTTCTACCCTTTCTTTGTTATTCATTCTCTTTAAACTTGTTAACTTCGCTTCAGGTACTCCTTCACCATATGGAGACATTGTGGAGGGTGTTCCAAATGCAAGTACTGGAGGGCTTCCAGTCACTGCAATCTTTGCCAACAAACGCCAGGGAATAGGTTTTAGAACGATTGCAATCATTGTCTTGTTAGGTTTCGTGCTCGCTCTGGTTTTAGCTGGAGCTATATTTATAGTCAGGACATGGAATGAAGTTGGGAGGTCATCCACTTCTGTTGGCCCTGCATTGGCTCCATCAATAAACAAAAGGCTCGGTAAATTCTCCCTCTGACTATGTAAAACTACTTGCTCTTGTAGCGTTAAACCACATGGTGAATTCCCTGCATGAATCTGTTTCTGAATCCTTCACACACTTTGCAGGTGCTGGATCTATGTTTTCCAGTAGCGTCAGGAGCTCGGGATCAGATTCGCTGATGTCTTCGATGGCTACATGTGCTTTATCCGTTAAGACCTTCACACTTTCCGAGCTCGAGAAGGCAACTGATAAATTTAGTGCCAAGAGGGTTTTGGGCGAGGGAGGATTTGGTCGTGTTTATCAGGGTAGCATGGAAGATGGAACGGAGATTGCCGTTAAACTGCTAACTAGGGACAAATAGAATCAAGACCGTGAATTTATTGCAGAAGTGGAGATGCTAAGCCGTTTGCACCACCGCAATCTTGTGAAACTGATCGGAATATGCATTGAAGGCCGTACACGCTGCTTGGTTTACGAGTTCGTCCACAATGGGAGTATCGAGTCCCACTTACACGGTGACATACTCTAATCCTCTGCGCATTTTAGCAACCATATTTATATCTGTCACTTCTCGTTGTATCACCTTCTAAAGCCTGTTTTTCCCGGTGTTAACAAAATAGAAGGAACGCTTGACTGGGATGCGCGGTTGAAGATTGCACTCGGAGCAGCAAGAGGACTGGCCTATCTCCATGAAGATTCGAATCCCCGAGTAATCCACCGGGATTTCAAGGCCAGCAATGTTCTCCTGGAAGATGACTTTACCCCAAAGGTCTCAGACTTTGGACTGGCGAGAGAAGCTACCGAAGGAAGTCAACATATTTCCACTCGAGTCGTGGGGACCTTTGGGTAAACCTTCTTTTCTACTTGTCTTGCTGTGAATACCCATCCTCACTGGTTAAGTGATGAAAACAGATAACTATGGTTAAATATTGAGCTGATAATGGATATAACTGCAGGTATGTGGCCCCTGAATATGCAATGACGGGGCATCTACTTGTGAAATGTCTATAGTTACGGTGTGGTTCTACTCGAGCTTCTCACCGGTAGAAAACCGGTAGACATGTCTCAACCTTCAGGAGAAGAATACCTTGCGACGTGGGCGAGACCTTTACTAGCAAACAGAGAGGGGTTGGAGCAACTGGTTGACCCCAGATTGGCCGGAACCTACGACTTTGATGATATGGCGAAAGTGGCTGCGATTGCTTCCATGTGCCTCCACCAAGAGGTCTCAAACAGACCGTTTATGGGTGAAGTGGTGCAGGCATTGAAACTTATATACAACGATGCAGATGAGACATGTGGTGGGGACTATTGCAGCCAGAAGGACTCTTCAGTGCCGGACTCTGCAGACTTCAAAGGCGATCCCTCGGATAGCAGCTGGTGGAATTTGACACCTCGGTTAAGGTACGGTCAAGGGTCTACGTTCATAACCATGGATTATAGCTCAGGACCGCTTGAGGAGATGGAGAACCGGCCCCACTCTGCATCTAGCATTCCTAGAGGAGGCCTGTTTCTACCAAATAGGTCGGGTCCGTTACAGCCAGTTAGAAGTAGAAGAAACTTCTTTAGATTGAGAGGCAGCATGAGTGATCATGGTGGGCCATCATCATCCAGACATCTTTGGTCCAGGAATGACAATTAGTTCTGAGAAACTAGAAAAATGTACAGTGAAGAAAAGGGCTCACAACTCTTGAGCTGCATGGTCAGGTTTGGTTTAATCCGGCTGGTTCGGTTCATTTGGCTGGGTAAAAACATGCCGGTTAGGAGTTTCGTTTTTGTTTTTGATTTCCAGATTTTCAGCAAATAGATTTAATTGTTTGTTTTTGCGAGGATGCAAAAGCAATAGCAAAGGGAGGGAGGGTTTGTATGTTGACTGACATTGTATCTTTTTTTCTTCCCCACCAAGAACAACAAGTTAATTTTTTTTGTTAATGAAGTTAGTGTTGCCTAATTTTGTATTAGTATTATGGATGGTGTAACTGCTTTTATAATATACATATATGTATAATGTATGCTTTTGCAAGGCTGCATAAGCTTTTCATTTATATTCTAGTGAAGTTAGTAGTTACCTAATTCTAATTCTATAGTCTCTGTTTTAGTTTATAAAGTGTCAAGTTAGGTTCTATGGAATAATTTTTTTCGCATTTGGTATGTTGTTTAGTTTCGGGTTGTCTAAATTTATCTAAAATCGGGAGACTCATTCGCTCTTGCATGAAAGAAAATATCATCAAGTAATAAATGTTTTTACATTTGGACACCTTAAATTCTTTTGATTGTTTTGAAGAGATGATGATAGCTGAAGATTAAGGTTCGAGTTCATTCCTGTTGATTTAGTTCAGTTACTTTTCTTAATAGGCCGATTTTGCGAACACTATCCACAACTCTTTTTTTCGGAAGAAGACACTATCCGTTTAACTAAACCAGCATAATGAATTAATGATCATGAGTTCGTGTTCTGGCGGGTGAACCGTTAAAGCACGATGTCTTCGTTTAACACGACAGTCCAACTGTAACCCGACAATAGTCCATACGGTGACACGTGATATCCTTTTCTTTTTCATTTTTGGTCTAAGACACGTGATATCCTTTTGTATTAACATGCAAATCAACCGCGGAATAACTGTGGTATGGTACTAATAATATATATATCAATTTAATGTTTTAGAAGCTTCTTTATACATTTGAAAACTCTCACCAGTTTCACTAATTTCAGTTATAGGGGATGATTCAGATTTTTTGCATCCTATTAAAACACCAACTAAATTGAGAAAAGTAGTTTTCGCTATTTTTTTTGTTTTTCAAAAAATAGTTTCTAAAATAAAAATAAACTCTTTTAAAAGAGAAAGTTTGACTAATTAAAAAATATAAAACACTTAAAGTCTAAATCATACATGTCGAAAAACATTAAATAAAAATATTCTCTCATATAAAAATGATATATTTAAAAATTTCTTTAGCTATAAAAGATTTAACACTACCAAAAATATATTTCAGTAAAAAAATACTATCAGTAAATATGTCAATTATATATCAAAAATTTTGTAATGTTAATTTACATTGAAAACGATTTTAGAAAGTATGTAATATTTATCCTTTTGTAAATTATATTATAAACATACAACATTATTAATCATAAAATACACCATACTCCGCGCGTATCGCGGACAAACCACTAGTATATACTATTATATAGAACTCTTTGTTACTATTAAAATGCCGTGCAATTTGTAAAGATTGGAAATCTTAAACTTGAAATTAGAATTGAACCTGCGCATTTGCGCGAGTGTAAATTATTTTTAAAATATACAAACATATTTTATATTAATTTCGGTTTTTTTCTTTCTAATATTAGTTTGAAAATTTTATATTCAGTGAATTTGTTTTGATGAAGTTTTATTATTAATATATTACCCTGTTATTTTTTGTTTGTTTAAAAATGTAATAGTATATTAATATTTTTAAAACATTAGTTTTATATGAATTCTTATTCATTTTATCAGAATTTTTTTATTAATTAATATTGATATATGACTAAATTAATATTTAAAAATATTATTTACTTAATGTATTATACTCAAGTGTTATGTTTTAATTACTACCACACAAAAAATCATACATAAAATACTAAATATAAATAAATCATTGTTTATTTTCTTTTATATGAAAATAATATAAAAGTTTTAACGGATTTGGATTTATTGTTTACTCCAAATTAATATCTAAACCCCCATAAAATCTGTCAGGTCTTAAAAAGAATTTTTTAAATTTTTTTATTTAGATATTAATCTTTATTTAGATTTATTCCAAAATAATATATAAATATATTTAGATTAGTTTATTAAGTTATTAATTGAATGGTCCAACTATAACTCTTATATAGTAGATTTTTAAAGTGATTCTATTTTAATAGAGTTGATTTGCTAACGAGTGCATCGCAGTCTTTTTTTGTTTTTTTCCTTCTGGTTCAGTCATAGACTAAAAAAATGTGGAAGGTAATGTAGGCTAGTAGAGGTGTAGTGGTCTAAGTTAAACCACCTTGACCAGACATTTTGGCACCTGATTTGCAATCTTCATTTGATCTATAATTAAATGAAAATGTGATAAAAATAATAAAAAATAATAAAGTAAAAAAGTATATATGGGGTTCTGACTTTCTAAGTAGGTCTTTAGAAAAAAACGATGAGACACTTATATATGAGTAGACATGCGTGTGTTTTTAGCTGTAAGTTGTAATTCTATAAAAAAAATATTTACAATCTTTCAACTGCAATTATTAAGAAAATAAATTGAAGTCACATAAGTACAAAATAAAATAATTGTGCACAGTGATGTGTTTATAAATAAATGTAAATTTATCCCAATTCAATGCTACGAATGTGAAAAATCAACTAGTTAAAAATAAAATTATTCTCACTTATGATTAACAAAATGTTTTAAATAATTATGTACTCATGAATTTATCATTATGTGTAATACATGAATACATTATTTATTTTAATTATTAATTTAAATATCAATTTCCAATTGTTACAACATATATTTAACCACATGTCTAATATCTTAACAAATATCAATTTTATCTTATTATATGGTTTGAAACATAAAAATAGATCACATATAATTGGTCAAGTTTTATCTTTACTAAAATTTGTATACATAAGAGTAGCTTTTTTTTTTCCAAACCAATACATAAGATTAGCTTTAAAGTCACATTCATGGTATTAAAAAAATCGCATATAATTAATATGTAAAGTAAAACCTCTATAAATTAACAATATTGAGATTTTAAAATTTATTAATTTATAAAGATATTAATTTACAAAGTTTCTTTTTTAAGATTTTTTTAAAGATATATTTATTCTTTTTGGGCAAAAAAATATATTTATTCTAAGATAAGCAAAATATTTAATTTTAATGTATATAAATTAATTATTATTTTTTGAAATTTGAGATTTATATTATATTATTGGCGTACATAATACATATTACATATAATTTAATATGATTTATATATATTTTACTAAATCTCATCAAAAATATATTAAGTGTTAAGAAAATATGAAGATAATTTCATTATAAATATAAAACAAATAGTATAATGATAGATTCTTACTTATATAAAATATATATACATAGATATTATTAATTTATAATTTTATTGGGACCATTTATTTATACAGATTTTTTATACAAAATTATTTTATTACTTTATCAATTTGTGTTAAGTTTGAACCAATTTAAATTAGAACCGACAAAATTTATTAATTTATAACGATTATTAATTTATCTAATATTAATTTATAGAGGTTATACTGTATATAGAAAATTGTTTAACCAAAAATGATATTTGTAATAATGTGAATATGACGTTTCACATAGAGCTTTGAGAGAATAGTTTAATAAGCTTAGAGTGTAAAAGGGAAAAGCTTGCAACTTTTAAGTCAAAGAAGCAATGGATAGGAACAAAATAATTTTGGATTTTCCTATTTTATATAAACAACCAAAAGTAAATAGTAATTTATTAAAACTAAAAATAGTTTTTTTTTTTTTTGGTTTCTTTCTGAATTTATTAATTACTGATTAACCCTTTCTAATTGGCCAAAGAGTTACATAAGTAAAGAAGGAGAGAAGAAATTAAAAGAAAAACGAAAATATAGGAAAAAAACAAAAACAAAGGACAGATAAAAGAGGAGGATTTATGATTTCTTTATGCGTAATTTTATTTCTCCAAATCTGCTAAATCATGGCTTTATGCGTTCTCACATATCCAACTCTATAAGATACATTTCCTTCTCTGAGATATTTTCTTTAGTTTTTCCTCGGGGAATCTTATTCTTTGCATTCGCTGTGCACTCTCCAGCTTCTGCAAGTGAATGCTTCTTTTGTTGGTCGAGTAATCTCTACCGCTTTGGGGGCAAAAGGGCTTCTGATTTGATTAATCTCCGTCAAAATGGTACTCTTATTCTTTGGTTCGATTACAAAGTTTTGATCTTTTTCATTTCCAAGGCAAAATGAATGTACTTTGTTTTATATATTTGGTTTCAATGTACTTTGCTTCTTCTGGGTTTCGTTCAACTGTCTGCTCTGTTGTTACCTGGAAAAGTGATTGTGCTGTGCAGTGATGAACATAATCATCGTAAAGGGTTTCTCATGTTTAAGGTTTTATCATTGGTTGCTTTCAGGGTGATTATTATATTACTCAGATTTTTTTTTTTTGGGTGTGTGGGGTCTAGTTCTTGGGCGTTAACCCTCTAAACTAGACTATTGAATGCTGTTTGTGTCTTCACTTTTCGTAAATTAAATGTTTTTTCTTGCTTCTTTCAGGCTTCTACTACAGTTAAAGCTGGCTCGTTCGTTTGGGTTAAAGATTTGGAGGAGGCATGGTTAGATGGTGAAGTTATTGAGGTTAATGGAGATGATATTAAGGTCCAATGTACCTCAGGGAAGACGGTATGTAGATACACTTTGACTATGTTTAAGGATGGAATCTGTATATGTTGAAGGGTTTGCTTCTCACTTGTGTTTGATCTTTTTTCAGGTTGTTGTCAAAGTTTCAGAAACACATCCGAAAGATATGGAAGTTCCACCTTCTGGTGTGACTGACATGACAACGCTAGCATATCTACATGAACCAGGGGTCCTGCAAAATTTGAAATCAAGATATCATATAGACGAAATATATGTAAGCTTCTCTTTCTGTTTTTTTGTTGGCTTTGTTAAGACATTTTTGGACTAATTTCTTCTGTTTCTAGACTTACACAGGAGATATCTTGATTGCTGTGAACCCTTTTAAACAACTAGCGAACCTTTACAATGACCATATGATTGCACACTATAAAGGAGCCCCCTTTGGATCCTTGATGCCCCACCCTTTTGCAGTTGCGGATGCAGCTTACAGGTACATGCCATTCAACTTTGAATTTCTTTTTCTTTCTCATGTTCCATTCATCATTGGTTGTTTCCTGCTTCACCTTTTTTCCTTCTTCTTGCTTGGGGGTGTAGACAAATGATTAATGAGGGAGTTAGTCAATCAATCTTGGTAAGTGGTGAGAGTGGAGCAGGGAAGACTGAGACTGCTAAAACGCTTATGAAGTACCTGGCCAAAATGGGAGGTCGAGCTGTCAAAGATATGTCAAGCAGAAGGAGTGTCGAAGATCAAGTTTTGGAGGTATCTGATGGCAAATATTTTATCAATAGACCTTGTGTATTGTCAAAAACAGGACATGAATAGTTTATGTTCTTTGTGCAGTCCAATCCTGTTCTAGAAGCATTTGGGAATGCAAAAACCGTCAGGAACAACAATTCAAGGTGAGTGGAACATAACTTTCTTTTATGCTGAATATCCGTTTTCATCTATACATTATCATTATCATGCTGCAGTCGATTTGGCAAATTCGTGGAGATCCAGTTCGATCAAAGGGGAAGGATATCAGGAGCTGCTATCAAGACTTATTTGTTAGAGAGATCAAGGGTGTGCCAAGTGTCAGATTCTGAGAGAAACTATCACTGCTTTTACATGCTTTGTGCTGCACCACCAGAGGTACACATGGCTTTTCTTTCTGTCTAATAGGCCACAGCTCTTGGATCTTCCCTGAAAATATTGTCCCGTTGTTTCTCATTTCTTCTTATGTTATTTGACAGGACATTAGAAAACTAAAACTAGAGGATCCAACAACATACCGTTATCTGAATCAATCTCGTTGTATTAAATTAGAGGGGATGGATGATTCAAAAGAGTATACTAAAACCCGAGAAGCAATGGGCATTGTTGGAATAAGCTTAGAGGAGCAGGTAGTTATTTTGCCTTCTCCTAGTTCAAGTGGTTATAAATGAGTGTATTTGATTGGTATGACTTTCTTTTCAGGAAGCAATATTTCGAGTTCTGGCAGCTATTCTTCATCTAGGTAACATAGAATTTACCAACGGAGAAGAAACTGACTCTTCAGTTCCAAAAGACAAGAAGTCACTGAAGATTGCGGCTGAGCTTTTCATGTACGTTGATGACTTTGAATGTGAAACATGCTTTATTGAATATTTGATCATGTGGAAAGATTATTCCTGACTCCTTGAATTCTGGCAGGTGTGATGAGCAGGCACTGGAAGATTCTCTGTGCAAACGTGTAATGGTGACACCTGAAGAAACCATATCTAGATGTCTGGATCCTGAATCTGCAGCATTCAGCAGAGATGCTTTGGCAAAATTTGTGTACGCAAGATTGTTTGATTGGTATGTATATCATTTCCGAGCGTATAATTCTCTTTCTTGTTTCCCAAAAGTAACTTTTCTAACCCTTTGTCAACCTTTTCTTATTGCTTTTGTAGGATCGTAAACAAGATCAATAATTCAATTGGGCAAGATCCTGACTCAAAACACATGATAGGAGTGCTGGATATTTATGGATTCGAGAGTTTCAAGACAAACAGGTGCTTAGGCTGTATGCATTATGTTTGATTAAGACAAGGAAAATGGTTGAGTAAAATGCTGTGGAGCAACGGTTCATGAAACATCAGACACATGACATGAATCTTGTTCTAGGAAGCAATTGATATATGAAAAAGTCACTACTCTCCTTGAAAAGTGATATACATATATTCTGTTATGGAAGAGAGGTGAAAAGTGTCAAGTGCATGTTGCCTCTGATCCTTACTAATGCATGTTTTTTTTTGCAGTTTTGAGCAATTTTGCATCAATTTGACCAATGAGAAACTTCAGCATCACTTTAATGAGGTTTGTCTGAACTCTGCTCTCTTTCTTCTGATAGTCGCCTGACATCTTCTTGATCCATGATTCTCTTCCTTGGGCAGCACGTCTTAAAAATGGAACAAGATGAGTACAAGAAAGAAGAAATTGAGTGGAACCACATCGAATTCCCAGATAATCGATATGTTTTGGAACTTATTGAGAAGGTAACTAGTTTTACTGCGAGCTCTTTGTAAAATAGTTCCCACTTCAACTCAATTTCTTTTCTCACGTTTCAGAAACCTGGTGGTATTATTGCTCTCCTGGACGAGGCTTGGTAACTCTATTAGCTTTCAGTTACTATTATTTCGCATGTTTTGTCTCTGCTTTGATATTGACGTTTTATACCTCAATCTTGCAGCATGTTCCCAAGATCAACACATGAAACGTTTTCTCAAAAGCTGTACGAAACATTTAAAACGAACAAGTACTTTAGCAAGCCAAAATTAGCTCGTACTGACTTCACCGTTTGCCACTATGCTGGTGATGTGAGTAGAAAACCTGATTCTGCATTTTCAAATCATGCAGCAATGCCCTAAAATACTAAAAGTACCGAGTTTTCTTTTCAGGTCACTTATCAAACCCAGCAGTTTCTGGAAAAGAACAAAGATTATGTTGTTGCTGAGCATCAGGCTCTGCTAGGTGCTTCTAGGTGCACTTTTATTGCAGGTTTATTTCCTAGTCTAGTGGAAGATGCTAGCAAACAGTCCAAGTTCTCTTCTGTAGCATCACAATTTAAGGTGAAGATGTATTTTTCAGGTAGAAAATCGTTATCACCTGATTACTGAAATCATTTTCTTACTTTATGCAGCAACAATTGGCATTATTGATGGAACGTCTTAGTACTACTGAGCCTCGCTATATTCGTTGCGTGAAGCCCAATAATCTTCTGAAGCCATCTATCTTTGAGAACCAAAATGTTCTGCAACAACTACGTTGTGGGGTTAGATTCACATTCATTTTTGGTTTGTCTGAACACGTTTGTTTGCTATTTTTCCTTGCAAATTTTAATATTCTGTATAAGCATTTTATAGGGTATGATGGAGGCAATTGAGATTTGTCGTGCTGGATATCCTACACGAAAACATTTTGATGAATTCCTGGACAGATTTAGTGTTCTAGCTTCTTGTACTTTGGATAAGAGGTTTGACTCTCTTAGCTCAGATGTTGAAAGTGTACCTAAATAATGAAAATGTTCTAACTTTTGGCTTGTTCCTACTAGTTCTGATGAGAAAGTAGCATGCATGAAACTTCTGGAGGCAGTTGGACTCAAAGGATACCAGGTACTCATTATGTGCACGTCAAGCATGGAAACTTTGATGAATACTTGTTTGATTTATTCTGCTTCAACGTCGAGCTTAACGTTCTTGATATTACAGATTGGAAAGACGAAGGTTCTCCTCATGGCTGGGCAGATGGCTGAATTAGATGCTCGGAGGACCGAGGTCATGGGAAGAGCAGCCAGAATTATACAGAGAAAATTCCGTTCCTACCTG